AGGCAGCTGTTGCCCTCACAGGTGGAATTTATTAGTGTAATGAACACTGGAAGATTTAGGGCTCAGAATGGGATGATGGGGATTATTCCTCACCATCCTAATGCTTAACAAGGTGGGTTTTTTCCTATTATCTCACTTTTCTCTAACTCCTTCAAAACCTGCCCCCCACATCCAAGTATGATTGCTGGACTGCTTCAGGTATTTCTACTTTTGCTTTATGTATTGCCAAGGAAAAGACAGGAAGAGTCAACCTCTGAGGCTGAACCAATCTTCTTTTTTTTATTTATTTTTTTAATAGCATCCCAATTAGGGTAATATTGTTAACACACCCACAAAAACACATCCCAATTTTGTCTTCTTTTTGTTGTTCATGCAATCACTGGGATTCTTTTTAATTGGGATGCCTACTTTTGTTATGCTCTGAGAGGTTTCAGTGAATATGAAAAAAATATTATGGAGTAACCTCGCAGTTCATCATGTAATTTTCCTTAAAATGTCTTAAAATGCAAATCAGGCAGGTGTTCTTCTGGCTGCTGTTGACTTCAGCAGCATGAGAGACATTTGGGAGGTTTTTGGTGAGTGAAAGGCTGATCTCTGGCTGCCCTCCAGTCACAATTTCTTCAGAACGTTTTTGGCGAAGCTGTGCTGGCGATGAGCAGGTAGCAGGTGCTGGGTTCTGCAGCTCCCTGTGACTCACCACTTTCCAAAGACTGTGAATGCAACAGAAAATTACTCTGCCTCCCTCCTCTGCATGACTGACTAAAATCTGTATCACTAATCAACAAAGAATATAGTTAATGACTGTTTAATTAATTTACTGTAATTCCTGATGAAGCTCACTGCAGTTCCATGTGATAGCTGTGATTTCCAGCAGACAGAGGCAGCCCATGTGCCATGTGCTCAGCAGAACTCAGCTCAAGGATATGCTCAGCTTGATACATCAGCTTGTTAATACACACAATTTCCCTAACTAGGATGACTCCTTTGTGCATAAACTCCTCCATGGTGTACCAGAGCACCACTTCTTCAGGAGGGAAAATTGTGGGTGGAGCTTGTTCCCTTCCAGATTGGAGCCCCACAGTTATTTTTCTGCTGTGAACCACTGTGTAAACACCTTTCCATTGCTGCCTTTAACATATACTGTGAACAGTTCTGTGTCCCCAGTCATTCCACCTCTGAGATTCTGTGGAGCCTATGTAAAGGCTCCCAATACCATAGAAACACTTCCTATTGCGAAGTGAGGTAGCTTAATTCCACATAACTACTTTTTATATGTCTTTTTTACCTTCCTGTATATTATGATGGGTGCCATCATAATTCCAGCCAATAGTTCCAACCAATTACTCCTCTCCTGCTGCTCTGTGCAGGCTACAACGTGTTGTGCTGATTAAACTCATTTCCAAGTTGTTTGAAGCAACGTGCCTCACTTGTTCTGTTTTGGGACCATGTTGTCACCTGATGTTTCACTAACATTAGCAGCGTTTCTAACTGTGTTCCAGTGACATGTCATATTCCTGCCATTTCATGTCTTAAGATGGTTTTATCTCCTCAGCATTGCTAATTTCCAAGAAACTTTCTATGTGGATTTCAAACGGTCCTCACAGGTATGGCTTTTTTCTGCAGTGAATTGCAGAGTCTGTGCATATTTATTTGTGACAGTGTTGGTCATGCAACTTCCCCAAAACCTTTTAAGTTCCTGAAAATTGTTTGCTGATTGACATCAGCATGCTCTCATGTCTCAGTGAAGAGTAAAATGACTCAGATTTCAATGCTTCATGATCTGTTTTGCTTTTGAGACTTTTAACAGCCAAGCTGTATCTGGTATCTTGCTAATAATGAAAAACTGTGTGTAATTTTTTGGCTATTCTTGAGTTGTTCAGTGAAAAATCATTATAAAACCAAGGCTGTACACACACGTTTTAGCACTTCTCTGATGAAATGACTACTGTGGTTGTTTTCATCATGATCTCATCAGGGGACAGGGACAATAAAAGTAATGATGTGGTAGATTCCTGACCTCAGCTTTCACTGAAAATAATTGTCTGACATTGACAATGATATCAATGATAACATTGTCTGACATTGTTATCATTAACAGTCCTGCCTTCAGCATTATCACATATGTTTCTGATGATTTAATTAATGTCTGGTATCCCATAATATGCATCATTTCACACAGAAATTTTAGCTTATTTAAAAAATCTTCTGCTACCCCATCAAAGGATTATTTATGACACATGGCTTTTTGTTTAATAATAACTGAGAATAAGAAATAGGTCAGCATAGGATCTTCAGCTCTGTTACCTGCTTGTTGCTTCTTGAGTTTAGGGAATTACTTGTTTTTCAACATCCAAAATGTATGTTGGGAGTTCATTTTCCAAGGTGAAAGCAATGGCATCTTAATTCAAAGATTCTTATTTTGATTTTTCTTCTTCCTTCTCACTTCTGTTAAAAACACCAAGTCTACATAGATAGCTGTTCCACAGGTATTTTAAGTAGTTCTCTGGGGCATAAACTACTGAAGATGGACAATATCTGGTCTATATTTTTTTTTTATTTTTGAAAAGTGCTTTATTTCAGTTCCGAACTATGAATTACACTAAATCTCCTACTTAGAAATCTTGCCACCACTTTGCATAAAGTAAGGATTATCTGTTTAGATCATTAACTCCAGCTCCTCAACTTTTATTCTTATCCTCCTCCCTTTTATTCTTTCTACCCCTGGAAATATCTTTGGCTAATGCTAAAGTTTCTCTGTCGTACTTCAGAACTCAAGTGAGGACATTCTTTTATTTTTCTGTGCATATTTAAAATGTGTAAAACATTACTCAATTACTATTGAGCATCTGGCACCTAAGAGGATGCCGGGGTAGGACTTCTGTAGCTACCAAAATATTTATAGAGTCTTTTAAAGTTTCTATTGTGACAGAGGAGATGAAAGTGGTTGATACAGTTTGGGATGTCAAACTCCTTCCTTGTGAGGCTACAGTGTTGTAACATTAGCAGTGAAATCGTGGACTTAATTGTAGTGTTCTGATTTCACATAAATTTTATGCTGCTATCTGCTACTTCAGTAGTGTCATTCCATATCTGCATCATGGAGATGAGGTAATGATCTCACTGCAAACAATTTTGTTCTGAATAGATGAGAATATTTAAATATGGAAGATGTTCAGATCTGGTTTCCAGTAATTTTACTAGATTTCATTTCTCAGCATAAAGACTTCATTCAGCAATAGTACTCAGCCTTATAATCACTCGCTTTTGGCCTAATTACTATTTTCTCACAATTCATATTAAATTGCTTCAACTGTATAGTCTCTTTAAAAGGAAGATTTTCTTAAAGCTAAAGAATGCAACAGTCCCAACTCAATGAAAAGGCTGAGAAACAGCTGAAATGGGGAATATCAATCAGCCCACAGGCCATGAATCTGAAGTTAAGAATGAAGAGAAATCAATACAGGGTGTATAATTTGCAGGGCCAAAGGAAAAGGAGAATATAGCATGAAATGAAAAATGTGTACTACATATGTATCAACAAAAGATGTAGTTTGTGCATATATACACAAAGATTTAGATTGAACTGGACAAAAACTTGCATATTGGCTTAACTTCACATGCTAATAGTCAATTTCTAAACACAAAGAAGAACGGAAGTGGGCACTCAGTAACTTGAATTACTTAAATGAAAATGACAGAACCAAAATCTCACAATTTTTTGAATGTTGTATTGAGGCCAGCAAACAAGACTTGGAGCACTGCAGATTTTGAGGTGCTTTGTTCCAAGCCTGATGTGTGTTTGTGGTGGTTTCCTGCCCTGATGTGCTGGTTTGGGCTGGGGTAGAGCTAATTTCAATTTTTACAGTTATGTAGTTCCCAGCAAGCAAGGTAAGAATATTTAGAGGAATATACCTTCAGCAGTATCTGTTATTCTAACCCAATATATTCCAAAGGCATTGGAGGCCCACAGATAATGGTAGATGTAGCCTCACACACCTAGTCTTTGTAACCAAACAGATTTTTCAGGTGATGTCAAGTCCCAGACAGCTCTTCCAAGAAAGTACAGTGTAAGTATTCAATTTTATTTCTTTTCATCTTTTTTAAAAATCCAAACTACCAGTGCTCTGACTTGCCATATTTAGTCTAACATAAAAGTCTAGGTCAGGGTTCTAAATAAAAACTATGCTTGGCCCTATGATGCAAAATTCTACATCTTTAAAACAGCATCCTTAAAACATCCTATTCCTGTTCAGTGAAATAATTCTGCAAATATAAAGTTGAGATATTATTTACTTAAAATGGAAGGAGGCAGGTTTTCTTCCCCTTGCTTACTGCAAATAACTTGTATCAAGAGCAGCCTCTGCATGAATTCCCCTGTCACCACAATAGCTCACGATTTTGGTGGACTATGTGCACAGTGACCCACTGCAGCACCAATATCCCATGACACAGGCAAGATTGTAGCTCTTACAAGTCACTGAAGGAAGCACTTCAGTAATAGTCGACATTTTGTTTCAATATTTGGTATCAAAGCAAATTCTTTTTCATGGTCTTTTTAGCCACTAGCAAAATATTTGGGTGGTTTTTGTACAGTTGCTGTGGACATGCTCAGTTACCTGCTGGCTCCTAAACTCTGCCAGTATCTTTATAGGCTTTATTCTCTCTGCTGCTTTGGTAGTCATCTAAAGAGGTGTCAAGTAGCAGGTGAATAGCAGCAGGCTAGAAACTATTCTATTTGTTGTCCGAAAGACAAAGTGCCCCAGAGGAATTCACAGCACAAGCTGATTCCAGCCTTTAATAAGGGAAAGTAAAATAGATTTGCCTTTGCCTAATCCACTCCAGCTGTGTCAAGGAAATAACACGGGCTAACCCTGCTGGGCTGCTACCTTTCCTGATTCTAGACAAGCAGCAGGTTTCTGAAACTGAGAGTCACAGAGCACGTGTGTGATCACAGACAGTGCCTCAGCCTACTGTTGTGCAGAAAGGCAAGGAACACAGAAGCAAATCTTGGACTTCAAGTCAGTATTTATTCCCTGTGATTTGCATCCTTGATGGAGGTGAGGAGTTTAACATCAGCAGAGCAAGGCTCAGGGATTAGGTCTCCCTCCCACATCCAGAACACAACACAGCCATGGAGGACCTGGAGGAACTCTGCCAGGCTACCCTGGCTCCTCTTTAGTCTGACCATTTTAATTACTGTTAATTAACAATATTCCCACAGTTGTGAGAACAAGTTGTTTCAGCAGTCAGGATTTTGACTCCCCAACTGGCAATATTTCATTTTATCACTTCCCTGGCTTATACTTTGGTGAGAAGTTGAAATAATTTGCCTGCTGCTTGCTGTGGTTCCATCTCCTGCTGTAAAAGCTTGCTCAGGTAACCAGACTGCAGGTTCTCCCTCAGGCCAGGGAGTGTGCAAGGGCCCAGCTCATGACCTGCAGGAAGCACCCCAAGAGAAACCACCGCTGTGTGAGCTCAGTCACTGGCAGGCTGTGATGGTGCTGGGCTTGCAGAAGGTGCATCCACCGTGACCTTCAGCCCACACAGGCCTTGGACAGCCCTCAGATGCTTTTCATACTAAAGAAGAAATCAGCATTAGTTGGGCTGCAAAATCCACACACTACAGGATGAAGCAACATTAGTCCAAATGGGGTTGGATGCTCCTGAGATTAATGATTTTCTTTCCTATCCTGGCATGACACTGCAAGAGTAGCCAGCAGCTTGCCTAATGGATTCCAGACCTCTTCATTTATAATAATATTATGGCTATACATGGTTCTCTTTGTCTCAAGTAAACAACAAAGTGACCCACTGTGACAAAATGTTTAAACATCATAGGGATGGTTCTACCCACTCTATACTATTGCCTGCTTGATTTTTCCTTCTGACATACACAATTCACTGCCAATTCATAGCACTTAAACCAGGCAAGGAAAGAAATGTTGAAATAAAATCCAGTTACGTAATTTTTCTAATCCAGGAAAATCTAAAAACTGTTTTACAAACTACAGGTTAATCCTGACATCCTTCTTGGGGCAGTTTGCCAGTTCTCTGCAGTACTCAAGGAATTTGCAAGAATCACTTTCCTATTTTCATCATGTAGTATCTTCTAGAATGGGCATATTTTTAGCTGTGCTCAGATGAATGTAGTACAGGAAGTTAACTTCAACAACATCACACAAATTTGAAAACTGGTTTGGAAAATATTTTTTACGGTATTTAAGTTTTTTATGCCTAGGGGTATATTCATACCTGTCAGGATTAGAAGATCTATTCTGCATTTTCAGAATGCTCATCTGTACACAGGAACCATTCTTATGGTATGATATCATGTATATATATATGTATACACACACACACATATACATAGCGTATATGTGTGTGTGTGTATATGTTTGTGAGGTGCTAAAGAAAAATGTTTATTTTCCCTACAGATAGAAAAGCTGGGATAAATTTGGGACACATTAAAATGGCAACATAAACATAAAAGCTGATTTTTTTAGACTGGAAACCTGGTGTATTACCAAAGCAGGTGTCATAATCTAGAATAATGGAAATTCAGGTAGAAAATTTAAAACCGGTCTTTTAGTAGACTCAGTAGTTTTGAAAATGGGGGTGGAAATTATAAATTCCATAAGTGTTCACTTCTTCACTAGTAGTATGGTTACATTTTGAGAAGACAGTACTGAGGTCATTCATCAAATATAGACTGAAACTAAGCTTAATTTCTGTAGGGCAAAATTATCATATTTTCATCTATATAACCTGCAGATTATCTAACAGAGAAATAAATAGCCAGGCAACCCACTCTCCACTGTTTTAGCAATTGCTATAGTACACAAATCTGTCATTTTCTGAGGGAGCTGTTTACTCAAAATCCTCTTTTGCATGCTAACATCTTGCCTGTAATCACCAGTGCCTATTGCCATTTTTTCTGTATCCAACACAGACTGAAGCATCTGTGCTCTTGGTCCATGGGCTCAGAGTTCAAAAAGTTGCAGGTTACAAGAATGAAAATACGGAAGCTCATGTAGTGTTTTACATACTGAAATACAGGGGATAAATAGGGGTTTGATAGGGAAGCCTCTATTTCTTCCACTGAACAAGGGAAGGACCAGGGGGGAAAAAAGGGAACAATTTCATGGGAGCTGAGGGGAGCACAAACAGCTCACTGGGGAAGAAGTGAGGGTTACTGGAGTGATGTGTCAATGCTCATCTCCAGCCAACACAGGACAAGGAGCATATGTGATGTGCTCACCTGATCCTAACATACATTGCCCTCTTAATGCTTTGGGAAATGCAAAGAAACAGAACAACATGAGTCAGTTGTGAGAGGTGGCCAGGAATCAAGCCTTCAAGAAAATTGAATGGTTTCAATTTATAATGTTAGAGCAGACTAAAGCAGTATATAAATTTAGAGATGCAGTCATTTTTGTACATGTACATATGCATATTAAGCCAGGATACCATAACTGTACTGCAAATATAGCTCTTAACATACATGGTGATTTTAACTGGAGACTTGGAAATCAATGTGCAAAAAAGCTGGAAGAATTAGGGGAAAGAAAAAGGAAAGAGGAAGTGAAAAGAAGTATGTTCACAACAAAGCACAAGAAATTCTCTCTCAAGTAGCATCCTCAGATTCTTCTGCTCGAGCAAGCCTTGCTGGAATGGTGCTTAAGTCTGACCCACACTGGATACATCCAACATTGGCTCCAGTGCCAAGCAACCTCCTGTATCACTGAATTGACCATCACTTATTTCCCACTGCAAGAAACCTTCAGCTCTATTTGCTCTAGATTTATACTTAAGATTAAGGAGCAAATGATGAAATTCAAGGACCATCGCTGTTATCATCCAATCTGCAACAATACCTGAAGGTTTCAGACTGACATCAGTGCTGAGGCTTCATGTGATCCACAGCCCAGGAGCTGCTGTCATCTTTTTCACCCTGCACATTCTTAGATCACTTTATTTTGAAAAAACTCAACACTCAGCCTTCTGGAACTCCTCTAAAATACACTGCTGACTCAGTAGTCTCTCTGCATCCCTCCAAATCCTAATGCTTTCTTGCCAAGAAAAAAAGGCCCTGTCTTTCTTGACACCTTTTTCAGAAAAGTGTTTTACTGCGCTCTCCCCCTTTGCTTTTATTTTCTTTGCAAAACCAGTCCAATATGACAAGATTTGACATAATTTTGTCCCATGTGTTTAATTTTTTTCTATTTATACTGCAAGTTGCTCCAATAGATCTGTCTCCCTTTTAGTCTGAAGGTTTTTTTTTGAGGTTTTGTATTGGTTTCATAGCATTTAACCTTATGGTAGCCTACTTGTGTCACTCTGTCAAATGAGATCAAGCAAAGCTTTTTTGGCTGTGCATATAAAAAACTAACCTAGTTTTTATGTTGTTTCTGTGTCTCATGCCACAAATAGAGAGAGGATTTTTGACATCTCATGTTGAAGCTATTCATACAGTCTTTCAAAACCAGAGCAATAGGAACACATAGCAATTAGTCTTTGAGACCAGATTAAAACTACTTTTACAATGGTTGGTGCATATTTGTAGTTTATTTGCACGACACAGTAGTAAAACTGTTCAGCACTGAAAGATGGCAGCACCTGTTTCTCCAAGAAGAAAATTAAAAGATGACTTAATATATTCCAGAGTAAGGCATTATTCCTAAGCAGTAATTTGATAAGAAAGGTCATGATATAAATAATTATGTGCTAGAAATGGTCCTGTTCAGCCTGAATTCATGGGCACTTCCAAATATAGGTGATCGTTCACACTCCAAAACAACAAAATAACTTATCTCAGTATGGCTTAGCTTACTTACCAGGCAGATGTACTCTGAAAAGACACCAGGGGTGGGCTTAAAGCATCTCCTTTTAGAGTGTGTACTGTCTGTGATGTTCGAGGCTGGGGCTGAATTTGAGGCTGTGTCTCTGGCTGAGGCTGTGTCTGTCTTGGGTCCTGAGCAGGGTTAATCCATCGGCTCTGTCCCTGTGTCATCCACTTTCCCTGGATTCCCCAGCGGGCCAGGTAGAATTTGCAAATATCATAGTTCATTGAAGAGTAATATAAAAGGTCCAGTATCAGTAAGATCACCACAAAAAAGCCATAGATCCACACTCCTAACAGTGCACTGTAGTTGCTGTAAAAGGAAGAAAAGGGATGACAAAGGAAGGTATCAGTAGTAGTCACTGTGTACTTCATCAAGGTTGTTTGTTTCATTAATTTTATGTAGATGGCTAAAACAAAATATTGTTCCAAAGCACGTCTCTTTAAAAATGAGCTATTTCTGTCAATATGAATACTGCTATAGGCATGATTTTATAAACTAAGGCTACCACTCTTACTAAAACTTTTGTCCTTCTCATCTCTGTATAGGCTTTCCAGAGCAGCTGCTACTGACCTCTTAATATGGCTGGCAATAAATTTTAGGAAGGAAGAACATTGGCAAAATCATGTTAGACAATGCACTTCACAGGTAATGTGTATATAAAGATAGATAAAGGATCCAGAACTTATATGCTGCAAAGAGCTGTAAAGCTGTGACAGATAACTAAAGATAATAAAAGAAAGGGGAAAAAAACAGGAGGAAAAAGTATGAGGGGTCAAAAATTTGGAGATCAAAAAGGGGAAGAAGTGCCAATGCCCTGCTGGAGATGAAGTATTATTAAAAGAAAAATGACTGTCAGGTGTAAATGCAGTTTGGATTGGAAACTGTGTGAGTGGGGAGGATGAGATCAGAACTGAGATGGAAAGAAATATATAAAAATGTGACTGCTAGATAGAAAGAAAAAAAAAAGGCTGATCTAGACCCACGGGCTAGTGTGGCAGTAGATGTGTTGGAGACTGTCAAACCAAGAGGAAGCTGAGGGATGTTAGTAAAAAATATCATTAGGAAGGCAGTCTCAGAAAAAAATTATATCCAAGTCATAAGTGGGCAACCCTCATCTGCATGGAGCTAAACTCAAAACTGAACACACACTCAACCACTCTCTCCTTTCACAGCCAGTCAGAGAAAATTGGAAGAAATCATATTTTATCAGAACATTGATCAAAATGGAAGCGCTGCAAGAAGAAAAAAAAGGATGAGAAGACATTATACATGCAAGCCAGAAGGATATTTTGATATTTTAAAAACATGTCTCCCAGCCTTCCTGGATCAAAAGATTTCAAGTCTCTGCTTTGAACTTTCATTTCTATTTAAACTATTGTATGAGTCTTTCATTTTATACTTTTAAAAAATCAGGATTTGCAACAAAAAATCAGAATTTTACTTTCTGTGTCACTGTCTGTCAGTACTTCAAGAGACTGATTTGTCCCTTCAGGGAATGATTTTTCCATTACACAGCTATAATGCCTTTAGATTAAATAAGGTTCCATTTCAAATAACTAAGTAACAAGAGGAAGGTCCAAGCTGTTAATGGCTCACTTCTGGTATAACTTCAGGACTATACAACCTTAGAATTAAAATTTTAAAAAAAGAAAGAAATCAGAAAATTTCCAGGAGGATTGAAAGTAGGCAAAATTTAATGTTCTTAAAACCCTTAATTGCACAGTTTTTGCCTCTGCTAAAGACTTACATATGCAAGCCTAGCTTCACACAACAGAGGGTAGACCTTAGTAATGCACTAAAATCAGCAGTTCAGGCCCTTGAAGGTAGAACAAGATCTGGTTAATCCAGGCTTCTCAGCAGCGCTGTTCTTGTACTTATAAAACTACTCTTACAGTAGTTTTAGCTCTACTGGGGGTAAATTCTTCTGTTTTCCATTAATATAAATAAAAGGCAAGCAAAGGCTGGAGAAGTCAGCAAGAGATGCACTTGGACAAATCTCATTATTGCTCATCATTAATATAAACAGGATCCATTTTGTATACAGGTGAGCTGTATTTGACCCACACTAAGAAAACATATTTGTTTTGGCAACAATGTGAAAGGCAAAAACATTCCTTATAGTTAACTCAAAGAATTTATTTGTATTTTAGGTATTTAATTTCATCTACCAAAATTTTGATTAGTGAAAATTAGAGCTATTTTGAGTGTTTCAATTTAAAGCAGCACTTTATCAATCATGCCAATATGTAAATTATTCATCTGCTCCTCCTAAAAAACATTTATTTCTCACAAGTACAATAAATGAAAGGCTGCTTTATATCAATTAACAGACAATGGGACAACAGCATTATCAAAAGGGCCTTGTGAAAAATCACAAGCAAAAACAGTAAGTAGTATGTTTAGTACACAGAAGGATATTCCACTCTATTTCTCCAACTATTAAGGTGGTAGAAAACATTAATTTTTCCTGATGGCTACTATTTAAAATTAAAACTACCCTGCAAATCAAGAAGATGTCCTCATTAGAAAATAACCAATCTTATTTATACAGAATAACTGTAAGGCCAGAAACACATAAAAGAACCTGGAATCCAAAAACTTCTAGGACTTACTCTCATTTCACTGACCTGAATGATTTAACTGTCAAAGTTTATTCTTGCAATCTGGTTTTCCTGATCTTTTGGGCAGAAGTTCATTTTTTTCCTAAAACTAAAGTGTGAACAAATTCCAAATTTGCTGAGTTTTGAATTATAGAGTTTGTTCAATTACACGCTGTATCATGTTGCATCCATCTCATTCATTCACTCTTTGAGACAGGTAACAAGCTGGTTATGACTAGCCTATATCTTTTTAGTAGATCTTCTTGGATTTTATGTGCAGCCCATAAATAAAAAAAGTAACTCATTTAGAAATTCAGATTTGAAAGAAATAACAAATCTAAACAATTGTGGGCTGAATTCTACAGTTGCAGAGTTTAAATGTGGGCAGATGGTCACAGAAATGGTTCCTTCCCCTGTTCTACTTAAAAGGGGCTGTTCCTTCGAGTAGTAAAAATAAGGGTTGTCCCTAGGATATGCAAGATTACATCCTTGGTACTGAGGAAACCAGTGCAATTTTTCCATCTACACTTTAAATGGGATTTTTTCCCCACTATTTTTCTTTTATAATTATCTCCAGGACTTTGTTCAATCGTGAATTTTCCTAAGGAATCTCTTACTACTGTACCTGAGAGATCTTCCCTGCCAAATTACATACTTTTGCAACAGTTGGTAGTCAGATTGATTTATTTTTTTTTTTTTTTTTTTTTTTTTTTTTTTTTTTTTTTTTTCTTTCTTGACAAGATGACTCTCTGAGTGCTATTTAAGCAAACACCATTTCTGCAGGGGACATTCAGTACCTGCAGAAAGAAGATGTTATTCTGTTCCCACATTGCTTTGGGTGCCAGTGTTGGAATGAGGTGTTCAAAAGCCATTCCACTCTGAAAAACTGGACTCAGAGATAAGGAAAAACACGGATACACTACAGACTGCCAGAACATTGCTCCAGTATCAGATTAAGGACCCCTGTCACAGCAGTACTACTGATAATCCACCAAAATATGCACAACAGAAAACTTGACTATGAAAACTAGATAAATTAGACTCAAGTGGATACTATTTTTATGAATAGTTACACAATTTCTTAGATGGTTCTAAGGGAAAATACTTTGGATTACAGAGCTTTTCCTGTCTGTTAGTCAGTATTTGTGTATCTATATTTAATACTAAATGAATTATTCACATTCAAAAATATTAGAGACTGATTAATCTGCATGGTTGCAAAGATATAATACTCCCAATATTTTGCTCTTATAAAAACATATAAATATTGTGCTACAGTAATGGAAAAATGTAAATAAATATGACTATAGTTGCATTGTGGGACTGGTGAAGACAAATGGGCCTTTTGAGCTGCACCATATCAAAGTAGTCACAAGTCACTTAATTAACTTTTTCCCTCAACTGTATTATAAAAAAAAAATAACTTTGTTTTGGTGATCACAAGAATGGCTAAGGGGAAAAATAAACCAAATAATAATATTAAAATAAACCAAGCAATAATATTGAATCATTCTTCCCTGAAAACTATAATCCATTTTTTTTCAGTTCATTGCTATTCCCATATCTTAAATTATTCTCCTCTGCCACAGTACAATAGGTTCCATCAGACTTTTTTTCAGTGGTGTGTGAAATTAGATCTAAACAAAGAGCTGACTGTCACTGTAAACTGAAGCCTGGATGCATTAGGATCCAAATTATCATGAACGATAAATAAAGTCAGAGCATTAAGAAAGAACCTTTTTGCAATGTTTTTAATGTAGGCATGAAGGGTTCACTTCTTTCTGCTCCTTCCAAAAATACCAGGAATTCTACCGATGTCACCTTTTCAGGCTAAGGAGATCTGTCTCCTGTCTCATTCCATGGGTGTAGTTTTACGTAGGAAGCAGTAATTCAGCTCACTTTCCTGGTCCTGACAGATTTATCAGAAGTGATGTTTGAGGAACAAGGTTCTATTCCTGCACTTCTCTACGCTACACCTCCAGAGGCTTTTTACTGTATCCAGTATGTCACATATGTACATATGTCATACACCTTTGCAAAAGTTCACACACAGCTGATGTCCCTAGAAAATCCTGGACTGGACAGTAAATGGTCTGCAGCTGGTTTTCAACCACAAATCCTACCAACAAAAACTACACAGGGACCTCTTTCTCCATCACAATTGAATAAGGTGACTTTTAAAAAATAGCTCTACATGAAAACTAATGTAATTGCTTTTGCTCTAAATATTTTTATCAAAATGAATGCTGCACTTCACAGAATATCAAACTCCTTTTTTTTTTTCTTTCCAAACTGCTCACACACACAACAGTCCAGTGATATGAAGACCCCTGGGTTTATTTCTCTGGGGGTGTGTGCACATGTGCAGATGTGAGCGGGCAAACAATGCTGGAGGCAGAGAAATGCCCTGTTGTCCTGGGGCATCTTTTGCAATCAGCCTGGACCTGTTCCTCTGCCTTGGAAAGGGGCTGGTTGCCCTCTACATTGGTTGCTTGTGAAAGGAAGGGCAGAAGAGCCTTACCTGAATAAGCTCTGGCCATGACTAGACAGAGTAGCTGCTGAGACACTGGGAAAAGCCTGAAGCATTGGCTTTGTGTTTGTCTGAACTGCCTTTGATGGTAACATCCAGACCTCTGAGAGACAAGATGGTAGGGCTGGTGCAGGGTTTACAGAACAGCAGGGCAAGAAATACAACAAATTTGCTGTATGCAGGACAAAGACCTGGAAAAGCGGGGGTGCAACATCCTCACAAGCCCTTCCTGAGGCTCATTTTATCGCTTTAAGAGTGCAGCAGATTCTGGCTTTGTCTGTGACTACCTGCAGAGCCCTTCTGTTCTGGGAGTCCTGTAAGGACCTCTGACATCCAGGACTGCTGAGGGAGCAGGGCCACCCCAGTACACAAAGCGGCAGCACACCCTGGATTTTTAGCATGTGTAGAGCACACATTGTGTGGGACCACTAGGGCTATAAACTCTACTATCAACTCCAGGTTACCTGGAACTATTTATGTTGCCAGATTTGGAGAGCCCCAGGTGAAAGGTCTTGAATTGTCTGGGCTGCACAAAAGGTGGAGAAAACGGATGGTCTTTAATGGGCTTGGTACTACAGTATCTTCCCAGTGTTCTGTGTGATCTGTTCCCATGATCCCAGATACACTACAAAGCCAAGGCAAGGAAATTCCTCCTGAAAGACCTAACTGCACATAAAGTAACACCACAGTATAGATCCACATTGATTTAAAGATACCTTATATGGGTAGAGTATGTTTTTGTCTGTCTTTGAAGGTGATTGATACTTTAACAAACAGTGAATTTAGAGAATGCAACTTCTACATATATGCAAGACTGAAATTTCTCTGGGCAGGTCTGTGTGAGGTCCTATGTGAGGAGTGGATGTTAAGGCAGGCAGTGCTTTGCTGATTCCATGAGCTGAGCACAGCAGCACACAGTGAGTTAGAGCAGACAGCATCAGTATTCCAGCACCATCATCTCCTAACAGCCCTGCTCCTGCTCCCATAGGGATGAATACAACACACCAATTGACTGGCACCACAGAAAACACCAAAATCCTGCTGTAAACAGAAATCCATACACTGTGATTCCACCTGTCTTTAATCTGCCCCTTCCTTGTCCTGGAGGGGCTGAATACTAGGATAAAATGGCAAGGAAATCAGACTGATCAGAATTTGATCTTGGGGATTACACCAAGGGATATCACAGCAGATTAGTGTGGCCAGAATGTCAATACTAAATAGGAAACTGACCACCATGGAAGATTTTGTTCCTGTAAATAGGTATTCAGTAACCTAAAAGATCTACTTGCTACTTCCTACTTCTTCATAAATAAAAAACTTACTGACATTTATTTTGGGGGACAGCCCTCAGCAGAACATGGAAGTATCCCAGGTAACAGGCAAAGAGACCACACAATGTTGATATAAAAGTAAATACATTCTGTTCCCCAAGGCTAGTGATTTGTTACAAGAGATTAAGATTCAAAAACATTAGGGGTTTCAAACAGACCATTTGCATTGATATGGAAAATATCAGCTCACTCCCTCTCTCACCTATGAACAGCTTTGGGGTTTATTTTTACTGATGCACATTTAAACATAGTTTGGATCAAATGAGGGTCAGGGAAAAGACTTTTCTAACTTTTATATGAAACTTCTACTCTCCTTGAAATGTTTACAGCCCACATCAAAGCAAAGAAAGCAAAACTGAAATATTCTTTCTTTTAGGAGCTCTGCAACAATAAAAAACCTTTTAGTAATTATTTTCTGTATTTATATGCAATTATTCTAATTGCTTCCACCATTAAGTGCACCTCAGACTCTGCTATCAGACCAGGAACAGTTTCGTGAAGAGTACTTTAAAATTTGTTTACTTACTTATGCATATATCCATCTGCATTCCCTGTTAAGTTCATCTGCATAACAGTCTGAAATTCTGTCTCATTGCAGCAATATTTAAACACTGTGTTGTTATGGTGACAGCAAAAGATGTAAGATTTATTGTCAGAAAGACGGGGGCAGTGAAAACCAAAGTGGTAGCGACCTTTGTAGTCCGTGTATGGCTCGCAGACCCGAAAATGTGCAGACAACACTGGAAAACAAAAACAACATTGGCTTTGTCAGTCATTTCTGTCACCTGTATGTTATCAACTTTCATTTTTCAAGACTACACAATTGCTGGTTGATTTCTGAAAAGCATGAGTAGTTCAGAACTTTCAATGTTTTAACATTTAGTACTTAAAGGTAAGAATGTTCAGACTTGTGTCGTATTTTGAGTTCTGTTGCTTCTGTGTTTCTGATTACTGTTGTTTGTTTTAAGGGAAGGGAAGAAATGCCCTCAGCCTTAAGAGTAACAAAAGTATTTAGGGAAATGTTTTCATACCCCTGTTCTAAAGGTAGGGATATCCACAACACACAACAATGTTCATGTTTGATTCTCCTGGGACAATTTAATAAAAAAAAAAAAAATCTATGTAGAAACTGCAATAAAAATTTGACGATACTTGGTTTACTGTTCCTGATTTCTTCTCTAAAGATCAATCTTTGATAAGGAATACTCTATCAAACAGTCATTACAAACAGTATAACAAATCTGAACAACTGTGGACTTGCAAATAGACAGAACTAATAAAATACAGGTGCTCCTGGGAGTTCTTACATATCTTCTTTAACAAGTTCTCAAGGAAAGTGTTTATTACAGCTCTGAGAACATTTTTCTTTTTTAAAGTCATGTGCCACACCATCACTTTTACTGGGGGAAAAAAACAGCTTTCCATAGATACCCTTTCATCATCTTAGTTTCCCTAAGCTTTTCAATTGTGCAGAGGGGCAGGAGAGAGGCCCCTTCCAAAATGGTCATAAGCAACCATATGCAGCTTCCTGGAAGACTTTTGGGAGTCAGTATTTGGTTCCACACTCACAATTTGTGCTACAGTAGGTCTTACAGCATCATTTAGGAGTACACGTACCCCACAGACAGCCCAAAGGGCTTAACCTGTAAGGAAAGTGAAATGTGGAAGCTGAGTCTGAATCCTCTTAGCAGTGAAATGCTTTTCCTTTGGAGAACTGAGACTCAGCTATGCTGTGGGAAGCTGCTGCTCATAAGGTTACACCAATTAATAAATGATACATTCACTTTGGACTGACAGAATTAACACTTGTAATTTGGTGCGTAAATTTTCTGTCAGTTTACCAGTACAAGAGTTTACACATAATGGCTTGCATGGATTTAGCTGAACTGCACTGTACCCCTCTGCACAGAGCACCTGTTGATGTGCAATTGCATCTGTGCACCTTATCTGTCTAATCATCTTTTTTTTTTCTACCTTACTTAAAAAAAAAAGCCTATTCCTAACACTTTTTTTTGTCAATTTTATAATTACATTAATTTCAAGACAAAATTTAAGGATTGTGACAGCGGAGATCACTTCATTTGTGTGTGGAGAGTGGGAGCCAAGAGCAGAGTACTACACTCACAACAAGGTAATCTTGTACTGCAGCCTGAGTCAAGAAAGCTCACTCTAAATATTTATGTGTGCATATAAATATACCTGGCATCATTACTGGCATGAAAGAAGAAATAATTTTTTTAGATTAATTCAGTCAAGAACTGAAAGTGCTGAAGAAAGCCATTCCTAAAGGAACACAGATACTGAGATAACGAATTACCTACCTGTTCTTGCCCTACCTGGGAAAAAAACACGTGTTCCAAATGTGAGGATACTATCATCAGTAAAGAAACTTTCTTTAGACTTAGCTGTTCAACACAGTCTGCAACTCTTGTAACAAATCTGCATGTTCAAATTCTGTCACAAAATCCACACAGCATGGAATGAGTTTGTTTGAATAAGTAATTTGCTGCATCCCTCACTAATTAACACAGCAATAATAAAAGTGTGCCAGGACAGATTATGATGTCAAAAACCTCAATGTTTGCAGCTGGAAGAGACCTCTGGAGGCCATCTCATGCAAATCCTCTGCTTGGAGAGGGCCACCTGTTTCCCAGAACCACGTCCAAATGGCTTTTGAGTATCTCCAAGGATGGAGACTCCATATCCTCCACAAGCAACCTGTGGTAGTGCTCAGTCCCCCTCACAGTGAAAAAGCACTTCTTGACGTTTGGAAGGAGCCCTCTAGGTTGCAGTTTGTGCCAATAGCCTCTGGTCCTGTCACTACCACTCAGGTTAAGCCTGCTTGTCACTGCCAAGTGTTTTGTATAACTGCACATGTGGATGTGTTCCCCGATCCCTACATAGCTCCTTTGCACATTTTAAAATTAAAACAATCCTCAAAGTTCTCTGAGAATGAAAACTGAGAAAAAAATTATTACAGAAGGAAGGGAAAATTAAGATAACCTCAGCTCCTAGGAGGATGAACATCTGCAATAAAACAGTCCTAAGCAAATCCTTAAATAGCAAAATGTGTGGGTGATTAAATAAATGCACGATGTGATGACTGAATCCCATTCTGAACTTGGCAGTCAGTGTGTGGTGGGTTACCCCTGCTGGGCAGCTGAACACCACACACTGACTGCTCGCTTCCCCCTCCCAGTGGGATGGGCCAGGGAATCAGAAGGGCAAAGAGAAAATTCATGGGTTAAGATAAACACTGTATAATAAATAAGAAAAAACCCCACAACACCAAAAACAAAAAACAAAGCACAAGTGATGCTAAAGCAATCACTCACTACCAGCAGACTGATGTCCAGCCAGACCCTGAGCAATTTTTGGATAAATTCCCACCCCACTTTTACTGCTGAGCATCCATCCCATGGTATGGAAACCACCTTGGCCAGAGTGAGTCAGCAGTGCCAGCCTGTCACCAGCCACACCAGTGCTGTGACACCAGCACTGCTTTGGTCACCCCGCTAAAACACAGCCTTGACCCCATCCCAGACAGACCTAACACACCTTATCCATTTATTGCAATCTCTGTAATTTCAGTTGCTGTTTTTGCTTCGCTGTGGATCACAGAGCAAATTAACAAAGTGGAAGTTATTTTCTTCCAAGTATCTTTGTTTTTGTGAAAATAACTTTGCTTAAATCCCCAGGTTTAAAGGACCTTATTTCTATAGAAATACTTTAGATAAAAGTATTGTACCTGTAAAGGCCTTGTCAGTTACAAAGGTGCAGCTGTGTCTGAAGTGGAGCTGCAAGTTCAAATTCTCACACTGTTTTTGAAAACAGTTACTGAACAGTTGATGCAGATGATCCTCTCTCTATTTCAGCTGACTTCAAGAGAATAGTCTGTCATGCTTCTTCATCACAAAAAAAAAGTATTACCTACTTTACCTTAAAAACTACACAGACAGCAAACATCAAACTGTTACTTCTCTATCTGGTCACAGCTAGAGATCCACCTAATGTACATTTTTAATTTAGATACAAAATTTTTAAAGCCCCAAGACTCTCTGAATGGTTGGTGTTTATTAAGCTTTCCATATGGAACCACAGAAATATTCATATGTATACATTTTACCACATGTTAACTTGCTGTGTGGATGTTCATTTCCTACTTCAAAGAAAAAATGCTGTAATGTGCAAATAATCTGACAATTTTTGCCTGTTAATATAAACTTTGCTGTCAGCACTGATTTTACAAGTGTGTTTCAATCCTTTAAATGAGTAAGCATCAACATTTGCAAAACCAATCTAAGAGTTAGTGGTCAGAAAGTCATTCTTCCAGCATGAATGCACTGTGCTCCTCCTGTTATTATGCATTCCTTGTGAGCCCAGTAAAACCAGTAAGCTAAAATGTCACTGTGATGAAATAAATCATCACAATAGTCACCAGCACTGAAATAAAATACCTCAAGTTTCAGTATTCTCAACCCAGAATTTGACTACTAAGATTGTTAATCTTAGTATACCAAAGACTTGGAAGTTAAGCAAGATCTTACAGATGGAAGCCTGTATATCTAGGTCACTCAAAGGGAGCCTTGCCATTAGATTTTCATTTCAGCTCAGGTTAAAAATGAGGTTCATATCATTCCAGTGAGAGTAACATCCTTCCCCCTCCCCTCCATCATTCACTGCATAAAGCCAATAGTTTTTCTTTATGGAAACTTATCTGTTTTGGACAAAAAAAAAATAAATAAATACATTGTCTGGCTGAAAAATAATAATAAATTTCCTCTTGTAAAATGTGTTGCGAGTCACCTAATGAACTAAATGCCTTCCTACAGATGACTGTGGCAAAATTCCACAAGGAGGGAGCAAGTTTGGCTGGCATGAAAGATTTGTGTTGTCTTAAGCCTGGATTCTACATGCTAATAGAGGACATCAGATAAGAAAACACCAATAGCCAAGAACCAACAAAATAATAAACACATCTACAAAACCAATAGTTATCAAGGATAATTGATAAATTATATAAGAAGTAAAAGCCGTGTGTAATTGGTTTCTAATAAAAGCATGCACTTCACAGACAGTATTTCTAAGAGAGGAAAAAAGTAAAAAAAAATGTGACTGGGTTTGAGGGGATAAGGGTTTGAGGGTGTGCTCCAGTTGCTGAGTACAGCTATTTGTATACACAGTGCAATCACAGTGTCCCACTCAACTCCAACACAGGTATTTATCATCTTGAGGAAGATGGGTTGGAGGAGTGGGATCTCAGGACAGCTCTAGTAGAAGTCTCCCATGAAGAGTGGCAAAGGTATAAAAACTTTAAAATCGACAGAAGAGACTGGAGCAGCTGGAACAGTTTTGTGATTGATCTCTGTTTGATCACTTCATTGAAGACTGCTTGATAACCAAGTTCATTGCTACAGCAGGGAGGTAGATTTTTGAAATTTCTTTAGCCTGGAGGAAGACAAAGAAGCAGCTCCAGCCCCTGTGCCTGATCCTAGTTCATCAGAGGAGGACAGTTCCATAATTAGGAATGCAGTGCCATACATGGGGATTTCAGGGGAAGGGCTCTAAAGGAAAGCAGTGATTTAACACGAGCAGAGGAGTGATTTAATTGATAATATTATAACACTATTAGCAAAAGGGCTGTGTCAGAGCTAAGTAATGAACTATCATTAGCAAGAATCAACTTCAACACTGCAAACAAGCAATAAGACTCTGTGCAACAAAACATTTGCTGGGACTGACAAGAATATGAATATTTTAAGAGTATTAAAGACACAGACTCAGTAGTAACAATTTTAACTTAAGCACAAGGATACTTTAAGAAACATGGTGCCTGGTAAAGTTTTAACTCCAGTGGTTGGGGATGTGATGTACAAGAGAATAAGGATCAGTGATTGAAAAAAAAAAAAAAGTCTTTTTCTATTAAAAATTGCCTCAAGAATGAAGGATAAAAGATACTGAACTAAAAAGCTGTAAGACCAAATCTATTTGGACTGAGAACCTTTAAAAACTTTATTTTAAATATTCACTCATGATTACAAAAAACCCTAATGCCATAAATGACTTCTGATGAACAAATACAACCAATAATCAGAGCACTCAACTAATTCTCAAACAACTGGCACATTTCCACACAAACCCTTTCTGTGTGCTAATAGCAAACATCTAGAGCAGAACTACCAAGCAACAGGAGAAACATCTCTGGTCCAGTCAATTCTTTAGATTCAGGAAAATTACACAGATTCCAAGTTCAATCCTTTACATTCTCTGGTGTACACACAGAAAAACACAACTGGAATCTGACTTGCTCTGCCTCCAGTGGATGGCTATTTAGCAAATTGGATGTGTTTTCTGATGGTATAGAAATTATTCCTTTCTTTAAGGTGTGCTGAAAAAATAGCATATCCAAAGAAATAACACTACTCTTCCAACTTTCCAGTCTGCTTTGTTCTAAAAGTGAATTTTCAGTTCCATTTCAAATTCCAGTTTTCAGTTCTTAAATACGAAGAGGCTTCATTTATACTGGAACTAGATGATCTTGAAGGTGCCTTCCAGCCCTCACCATTCTATGATTCTATGACTTACTTATTATGAAATTAACAATCATTTGGCCTTGTTTATTTTGTGGGAACCCAGTATTAAATTACAATTATTTTTTCGCTGTGGCACACATCAATAAAAAATAAATTATAAAAGTTACCTGCTGACAAGAGTAATGAGAGCAGAACCATCAGCACATTCAAGGACTGTTGACCACAACTTGTCATCGTTGGCTTTCATTGGTCCATTAGAGAATTACCTGTTGGACAAGATGCAACATCGTGATTAAATGTATATTTCATCTCCTTTCATTGTTCAAATGTTCACTTCCCCACAAAGCTTTGGTAAAATAAGATGGCTTCGCACAGTAGGGGAAAAAATCAGATTTTTTTCTGCCCTTAAAAGTGACATAAAATCTCCTTTATACAGTTAAAATTACTTTCTCATTTCACCACGGATATACACAGCTGTTTATGTACTTTTCATTAACCAGAGTAGAGATGATTTATATAAAGTCTTTACTGAACATTCATACATTCCCTGTAATCTACATCCAGCAGAACTGTCTGTTTTACTGTTACAAAAACAGGTTATTGTATTATATGTGTAAGGGCTAGAAAAGAATAAACAACAGAAAAACAAATTGGCTGCTTTGAAAGTGAATCTGTTTTACCCCATTAGAGGGTGCAGTCGCTCAGAAAGTGGGTCAAGTAACTGAAATGGTTAGAAACACTTCAAAAAAGGTCTTTTCATTAGCATCAGAGCCTTCCATGGGATTTTTATTTGCTTGAAGGACAGGGAGTGAGAAGTGATGTGGTTTGATCTGACTGGCAGCCCTCCTACAAAGGCTCTGCTTGGTGTTTCCCAGGCAAGGTGAGTCAAACAGCTCTTCTCTTCCCCTCCATTCAACAGCAGCAGCTGCACATTCAACAGCTGCAGCAGGTACTGTCCCAGGTGTCACCAGCAAGGTGAGCAGGACCAGGTGGAACCCGGTGCTGCCATCACTGATAAATCCAACTAACTCTAGGTCTTGGAGGTTTCCAGCATCCTGACATCACACTGACAGCAGGGCACAACAAGAGGTGATTTCTGCCTTTGCACACAAACGCTGTGTGCACTTAGGGCACAGCCAGGATGGGCTTGGGAGTGCTGCAGAAAGCTGGTGTGATGAATACAACTCCTGCACTGCTAAAATTGCTCTAAGATGTTTACAATGGAGCAGCTTGGGGGGAAAAAAAAGGGAATTTGCAATTTCTGTAAAAATTACACTGCTCCCGACACCTCAAGAGACACATTTTGCCAAATGCTTATGAAATAACACTGTATCCTATAAATACTACATGGTTTACTAGTTGGTGTCTCCTACAACCTACTGAATCAAATGAAAATCCCCAAACAATTGCACCTGCACGTAACAAAAGGGGGAGTGGGTGAAAATGAACACACCGTAACTGAATCCTGAGTAACAGACTTGGGCACTGGAGGGGAGACACAGTGCTACCTACAAAGTGTTGGGAGGCAACAGATTCCTCACTAACACAAAATGCTGTCTGTGGCACAAGCAGATTCACCAAGAACTACCTTAGCACATAAAAAAAGACCTAAAAATCAGTGTAACTTTTGTACAAGAAATCGTAACATTGTACACGATTTGCTACAAGCATGATTAACACCCAAACCACTGTGTTGCTAGCTTTAAAATAAGCCAATTCCTCCAGAGGAAAACAATTTGAAACTATAACACTGAAACAAGCAAATAATAGTGCAAGAAACAAGGAATTCTAAGTAAGAATATTTGTCATTAATACAGTTTAAAAAACTGCCTCCTTTTTTTCAGAAGGAAAATCATATTAATTATAAAATTAACCAGACTTAAAGTTGGAATTGTAATTTTTTTTTTTAAAAATAATAATAATGATATAAACCAGAGGTTGAGAATGTAGGCATTTAATCATGAAAAACAGCTACAAATAACAAGATACTGCCAATATTTATAGGAATATAAGGAATTTGATATTTTCCTGAGTAAACCAAAGCTGCAGGAATTCTGGTAGTGATTCACTACTGAGGGAAATCTTGGCCTTTGCAACGGTAAATTAAAAGGAGATCAATAAGCACTCCCATTGTGTATCTGGGATGACAAAGATGTTTGGTATAGATATTAAGTTTACTACTATTAAATATTTCCATGCCAAGAATAATTCACGATGACATTAATGAATTGATACTAAGGTTTGTAATTTGATATTTGCAATTCTGTGTAGTTTGTACCTAGTTATTTCAGCAGAGCTGGCTGGGGGGACGTATATATCATGTTTTCCATTTGTTGGAAATTGGCAACTTTCAGAGGACCTGAAGAAGTGTAGAAGTAAATGAGATAATCCAGGTGATCATAAGATTGTGTGATGTCAATCCAGACAAAATTAATGGCATGGCTATTATGCCTTCCAATTAATAAATAGTTAAGGAGATAAATATAATTAATGTGGTCACTATGGGCTTATGGCAAAGTTAATTTTATTTCTCTCAGGGCCACTGATCAATGTAAAATATTTCACTTTAGTAGCACACAATTTGAGTAGACAGTGAGAACGATGAAAAAAAACTTCTTATCAGCTGTGGAAGGATAACTCAGTCTGGAAATCAGGTACATGTCTTGGAAAGTACAATCCTGTTATTAACTGAGTAGAGCCTCACTGCTAATTTCTTAAGCAGCACGGTAGGTACAAATCTAGAAGCTTTTCAGGGAGGGAAAATTTATTCAATTATATCCAACAGAATGGCCAACAATGAAACTGGCAGTTTAATCCAAATCATGCATTGCTTGTATTTCACTGAGTGTCAGCTGGGAGGATCAGAGTGGGGGACTAGACAGTGAGAGCTGCACATCAAGAACCAGCAGAGTGACAGAATCTGTGTAAATGAATACATACATGCATCAAGGTATATATTTGTGACAGTAGGGAAATGCTCCAATTTTATAACTTAATAAAGAAAAATTTTATTGCTTTAGTGATAATTACACAGTGTAAGACTATTTTTTGTAGGTCAGAAATACAAATAACTGTTCCTTGACTATTAATAAAAATAACTCCTTGACTATTTTGAGTTTTTTACATGCTACTGTCTGGCTAAAGCCATTGTATTTCACGCAGTACCATGGTGACATCTGTGAGCTATTAGAGCCCAATCAGCCACTGGAGGAGATAAGCATGGCAACAGAGTGTTATGCTACAAGGAAGAGCCTAATCATACACAGTATTTCCTAATGTCCAGCCACAGAATAGGGAGGGCAGAAACATGGCCATTAGCAATGATCTAGATAAATAAATTGGCATTTATTATTGTTATTAGTTAAAGACTGATGGCATTTTAAAACAAGAGCATTACATCCTGAAGGACGGAGGAAAAGAAGATTTAGTTGTAGTCTCCTTTTTTGTTTTTTGAGTAGAAATTGAGGGCCTGGAGGCTGTGTGATTATGCTTTCCTTCTAGTTCAGAAAACCAGCAATTAGAAGGGTGGTCTAACACACCAGTTTTCATTTTTAATGCACCATTCTAAGCTTATTTGTGGTCATTGTGGAGGTAAGGATGATGCCCATCCTTTTACTTCTCCTTTAATTTGTACCCTCACACCACCTCCTCCCCCTCTGCTAGCAATCTCAAGTATCTCTGCAGCTACCCCAGAAAGCAGACTAAAGAAATGGCTGAGGAATCACATTTTTAGAGGCTTTTTTTTCATCACTTTCCCACATCTTGTCCTTATTCCCCTCTCATTATTATTATTATTATTATTGTTATTATTATATAAGCAGCTGCATGGCTATGCCATGGCTACTTAGTTGTAGGCTGGGATTAAACCACGTCTAATCCGGAATAGAAGAGACAGTCCTCACTCCTGATTTTTGCTATCTTCTCATGAATAAGGATCCTGTGCAGAACGTTGCTTTCCCTTGAAGAAGATGCAGACATGCACAATCCAAAGAGAACAATGCTCAAAGGAAAGGTGCTGTAACATTGTGATCAAGGGGACCATAGGAATGTATGAACTCATTATGCCAGATTTTACTTTTCTGTGACATTTTAGCTCTCACTGTATTCCTTACCTACATTGCTTTGGTTATCCCCATGGTTTTATCTAGCTGTCTTTTCTTGAAGGGAATCAGTGAATCAATGCAAAGAAAAGCTGCCAAGAGAAACAACCATTTCATAAGGGAAGATTCTGATGAAGGAATTATTTTCCCCTGACTTTAAAGGAAAAGAGAAGTTATGCTTAGAAGAGATGCCTGAAAAACAATGCACCTTTTGCATTTTTTGGTTAGTAGGAAGAACTAAAAGAAGCTAGAGCAAGAGAATTTATTAAACACATCAGCATTGCCTCACAAGTTTCTCTCTGCCTAGAACAGAAAATAGGGCAATTCAGGAGATAATTTAATTCCTTTTGTCTGCCACAGGATTAAGAACATCTAAACCATTCTTTGCTGAAGTTCACAGGATTCCCACCACCAATGCCTTTCTAATCTTGTCAGGCAATTCCCTAGAGTGCAAACCTAGAAAGGTTTCCCTATGCTCAACTTGCAGCTCCTTTGCTTTGCTGTAAGCCCTCTCTATCAGCAGTGGAGCTGGAGAACGATTTACCTACAGACACACTGGTTACACCTCTTTGCCTCAATCTTTTAATTAATACATACAAGAAGTGCTGTCATATCTTCACTCAGCCTCTTCTTAGGCTAACAGCTTACAACTCTTATAACAAGGATGTTTTTAAGGAAAGATTGCACATTCTATGACACCTCTTTTATCTGCCTCTATTCTTTGTAGGAAGGTTGTGCAAGTAATTTTAGCATCATTTTATTTTCTGTGGTATTTCCTTAGTGCCCTGTTCATTAGCGCCATAATAAACATCCCGATAGCTACCAGTTCTTCCAAGAGAAATAAAAACACAGCATTACCAAAGTGCAGAGAGCCACGGAGCTTCTGCTAATTCTCAGCTACTCAAAGGACACACAGGTAAACCCCTATTAAACAACAAGAGGCACATCTACACACAGACAAAACTACATGGGTGAAAAATCATATGGGCTACAGAGACACAATGCTGGTGCACTGTGGCAACACCAAGGGGATGAGTAACACAACCAGAGCATGACAGTGGTTGAGAAAGCTGTTTAAAATTAGATGGAAAAGGCTGTGATCCAAACCTAACTTCTAGTCCAGCTCTGTTCACTTCTCATTTTAAAGAGGGCTTAAAAATGC